TTTTTTTTTTTTATTTTTATTATTATTGTTTAATATATATTTAATTAATAAGGCGTGTAAGCTTCAGGTGAGCACTATAATTTAAATTACCTAATTAAATATTTAAAACCGCAAATTTTCTTTGGCTTGATAACATTTATTATTTTTATTGTTGAGTTAATTATTAATAATAATAATAAATAAACAAATTAATAAATTTGTACGTATTTAAATAATTGAAAATGCACCGGAATATTTTTATAAATTAATAATCCAACGATCAAGAAGTAACAGATGAAAAATAACGGAATACTATAATACTGATTAACAGTTTAATTATTGTAATTAATTATTAATAAATAAATAATAATTTTTTTTACAATGCAAAGTGAATAAATAGTGTGCCAAGTAACCATTTTTAACAAAACAAATTACCATTTATTAACCATTAATCAATAACAATAACCGGTAATATTATAGTGTGTAATTAACAATAAACAAATAATTAATTAATTTTTTTTAGCTGCAATTTGAACACAAACTGGTTAACTCTTACATTTGGTTCTTATGGCATGACTCTAGTATTTGGCTTGTCTTATTTTTAAAAATAAAACTTTTTTTATTGTGAAAAAATAGCTTTGATTAATTATTAAGCTGAAATTAATATTTATTTGTGTTAATTTTTATTATGTTTAAGTTTATTAACAATTTCCCACTTTTTAATTTTTTAAATTTGAATTAAATTCCCGCTAAAAAATTTGAGTGTTAAATTAAAAAGTTTCTAACCTCAATTCCGCCATATTGAATCTTCGTTCCGCCTCAAATTTATTTTATCAAAATTTATCTAATCAAAATAACATTTTTAATTAAAGTAATATTTTTTTTAATCTATTGAATAGTAGAATTAAAGTACACGCGTTTTTTTTTATTATGAAAAAAAAAAATAGATTTGATTAACAATTAATAATTATTTGTGTTAATTTTTTACGCTTAAGTTTATTAACAATTTTTCACTTTTTAATTTAAAAAACAAAGTTTTTAAATTTAAATCAAATTCCCGCGAAAAAAATTTGAGTGTTAAATTAAAAAGTTTCTAACCTCAATTCCGCCATATTGAATCTTCGTTCCACCTCAAATTTATTTTATCAAAATTTATCTAATCAAAATAACATTTTTAATTAAAGTAATGTTTTTTTTAAATCTACAAAATAGTAGAATTAAAATTACACGCTTTTTTTTATTACCGAAATTAATTTTTATTAGTTAATTTTTTACGTTTAAATTTATTGAAAATTTCCCGTTTTTAATTTAAAAAAATCTTCGACTTTTTTTAGCGGGAAGTTCAAAAAATTTTTGAAAAATTTCTAACCTCACTCCGCCATATTGATTCTTTGTTCCACCTCAAATTTATTTTATCAAATTTTATCTAATTGAAGTAATATTTCTAATTGAAGTAATGTTTTTTTAAATCTACAGAGTAGTAGAATTAAAATTACGCGTTTTTTTTAAATTGTTGTAATTAATTAATTAAAAAGTGGGGTGAGAAAAACAGCTTGAACTTTCCGGCAAATTGTTAAGAGACAACTTCATACCCAAGCCTATTGCAAATAGTCTTTTGTTCTGTATAAATATATAATAATGTATATTAATTATTAATTATCAATAATAATAATATATAAATATATACACTATCTAAAAATCTATAATTATTGTAAACTTATAAAGATAATAAATTATTTACAAACAAATTTTTTATCCAAAATAGTTTTTAAGCATATAAACTGGAAGATTTTTTTTTATGGCTTTATAAATAATTATAAATTCGCGTTGTTAAGACAAAGTGTCTCTCGCGAAGAACACACACAATTTTATTGCTCATTTTTACTCTAATTAAATGTATATTTAAAAAAACGCAATTAAATAAATAAGCATTAAAAAATAAATTTGTTCTTAACTTTTTCGATAGAAATTAAAAAAATAAATAAAACTTAATTTATAATTTAATTATTAAAATAAAAGTATTTTAATTTTTTTGCAAAGAATCATTGGAGCATTAAAGATTCGAGATTACGATGCAAAATAGTATCTTTTACGGCATTAAAAACAACTTTAATGTTTTCCGTATCTACGGCAGTTGTAAAGTGATGGAATAGAGGTTTACGTGGGTCCCTTTTTACAGATATAAACATATCTAATATAAAATTCTGCACGTCTTTCATGGAATGTGAATCGCCTGTAAATTGAGGAAAATACCAGCACAGATTTGTCTCAGGTGAACGGACTTTTTTTTCGAGTAAATCCGTTTTGTTGAGAAACAATATTATGGATACTCCACCAAATATCATATTGTTTACTATAGTGTCGAATATATTCCTTGATTCTTCAAGCCGATTTGTCCTCCTGAAATTTAAACAAATTTATTATTATTTTTTTATTATCAGACTCATTTAAAATATTTCTTCTTGATTTAAAAATATGATTATCAATATTTTTCTTGAGCAATAAATTATTATTATTATTATTATTATTGTTTTTGTTTTTGTTATATTTTTTTTATTATCGATTAATTTAAATATTTCTTCTTTATTTAAAAAATTTTAATTATTAAAATTTTTGTTAAAAAATAAATTATTATGAAGAAAACTTTTGAAAAAAATATGTAAATATTTTCTTAATAATAATTTATTTGTTAGAAAAATTAATATCATTATCAAAAAAAAAAAATAAATATAAATACCTGTCTTCCAATAAAACTTGATCGAATTCAGATGTTGAGACTAAAAAAAGTATCGACGTTACACAATCAAAACACTGATACCATTTTTGCCTTTGTGATCTTTGACCACCGACATCCACAAATAAAAACGGTATATTATTTATTGGTATTACAAATTCCGATATTCCTTTTGTTGCTTTTCTACAGTGAAGTATATCTTGGTGCGTTGGTACATAATCCTGAAAAAAATTTTTTTTCAATTTAATAATAATATTTTTTTTTAATTACGGGGTTGAAGATATTATACGCAATTAAAATAATAAAAAAAATGAATTTTTTTTACTATATATATATATATATATATATATTGAAATGCAAATTCTAAAAATTTAAACGCCTTTTCCTCAACATTGAACAATATTTATCAAAAACAAATGATAAGATCTCTAATTCTTATATCAATTTTATCTCTAGATACATAATTAAGAAATGGCTTTGTATCTTGAGAACTATTGACATTTTTAAAGATATAAGCTCATCCCGATGTTACACTCATCGAGACCTTTCATTTGAGTACCCACATCAATTTTTCATATATTTTATATATTTATATATATTATATATATATGTACATATAAAAAATATATCAAAAATGCATGTGGGTACTCAAATGAAAGCTCTTGATGAGTGTAACATCAATATGAGCTTATATATTTAAAAATGTCAATATTTAAGAAATGACCTTGTATCTTGTGAACTATTGACAGTTTTAAAGATATTTTAAGCTCACGTTGGCATTACACTTATCGAGACCTATTATTTGAATACCCACATCAATTTTTCATATATTTTATATATTTATATATTCCACAAATACCATACATATGAAATATATGAAAAATGCCATGTGGGTACTCAAATGAAAGCTCTTGATGAGTGTAATATCAATATGAGCTTATATATTTAAAAATGTCAATATTTCAAAAAGTACAGTGCAATTTAACAAAAGTCATTATTTAATAAAGCAAAATTTTATTTATTTATATTTCACTAGTCACGGCAGTCACGCAGTGACTGCAAGGTTGCTAGTAATTTAAATAAATATTTTTTTTTATGACCCAAGTGCGTATAATTCCTCTAAAATTTAATATTAAAACAATATTTACCGCCCGTGCAATTCTGTCCAAATGATCCAAAAAATACTGTACCGAGTCGCTCTGAAAAAAAAATTAACCTTCAACAAAATTATTTATCACAAGAAGCAGTTATCGCAACAAAATAAAAGTAATTTAATCAAACGACTAATCTTTATCAATAAATAAATAAATAAACAAGTGATCTTAAATAAAATAATCAAAAACTCAAATCTCAATTTCAACAAAGGACAAAATTAATAAATTAATAAACTGACAATCGTCTTTTTGCTCCACAAATAAAAGTAGAGTAATATAACTTGACATATTTATTCTCATATATTCTATTATTGTATGATCACATGAAAGCGCTAATAAAAGTAAGTAAGTAAGTAAGTAAGTAGTAACTGATTATATAAAGACTAGGTTATTATCTTTGCATTAGTCATCGCCTTGTTAAGTTAAGAATGTTATTATTTTTACAGTACTACATACAAGTTAATCTGAATTATCATAACTTGATTGCAAGGTAACTAATTGAATTAAAAAATGATTACCAGTTGAAACTCTCTTCTCCTGTCGAAGGCTTTCCTGATAGAGCCGTCTCTCCACAAGCTGTACAACGAGGGGACATAATAGAGAAATAATCTCGCGTCTAGGATCATTGTGTTTTCTATTTTCAGCAATTGATAACCTATGTCATAGTTTTTAGGATTTTCCCAGGGTATGTTAAGCTTATCTCGAGCATCCACCAGCACCTTCATTCCCTTTATTATATTTTGGTAGATAACATGCTGGTACTCCTTAATTAACTCCGGCTATAGAATAGACAAAATTCAATAATTATTATTGTTGATTCAATACACAAACATTTATTTACTTTCTAAACTTTTTAGTTTATTTTTTTAGAAAGTTTCTTGTGTAGTTTTTCTTTATGTACTTAGCAGACGGATTTTTTTTTATGTTTAAAAATAATTAACAAGTTGAAAAAAATTTTTTTTTAATAATTACTCATTTAATTTAATGGTCAATTTTTTGGAGTTTTAAAAAAAATTTTAAGTGCTTTCTATGTAAAGAAATAATTAATTTTTTAATTAAAATTTGTTTATCAAGTATTTGATCATTTTAATAAATAAATTATGGCAAAAAAAATTGACAATTAGAAATTTTAAAATGCAATTTTTTAATAATTTTTTGTTAAAAAAATTTTAAAAGAGATTGCTAATTTTAATGTAATTTATTAATTAAAATTAATTGATCAGATCTTAATAATTTTTTTAACAAATAAATTATAGTAAAAAAAAAAAATTTTAATGAAAATTAAAAAATTTAATTTTTTAAAAACAGTTTTTTATAACAAATTTGTTTGTTAAAAAAAATTTTTTAAATGATTGCTAATTTTAATGTAATTCTTTAATTTATCAGATATTTTATAATTTTAATTAATTTTTAAAAAACAATTTTTTAGAACAAATTTATAAATTAAAAAAATTTTTTTAAATGATCAAATGATTGTTAATTTTAATGTAATTTTTTAACTAAAATTAATTCATTAGATTTTTGATAGTTTTAATCATTTTTTTAACAAATAAATTATTGCAAAAAAAAATGTTTTTTAATAAAAAATTCAATTTTTCAAAAACAATTTTTTCAAACAAATTTGTTTGTTAATAAAATTAAAAAATGATGAAATTATTGCCAATTTTAATGTAATTTTTTAATTAAAATTAATTTATCAGATATTTTATAATTTTAATTAATTTTTAAAAAACAATTTTTTAGAACAAATTTATAAATTAAAAAAATTTTTTTAAATGATCAAATGATTGTTAATTTTAATGTAATTTTTTAACTAAAATTAATTCATTAGATTTTTGATAGTTTTAATCATTTTTTTAACAAATAAATTATTGCAAAAAAAAATGTTTTTTAATAAAAAATTCAATTTTTCAAAAACAATTTTTTCAAACAAATTTGTTTGTTAATAAAATTAAAAAATGATGAAATTATTGCCAATTTTAATGTAATTTTTTAATTAAAATTAATTTATCAGATATTTTATAATTTTAGTGATTTTTTTAACAACTAAATTATGGCAAAAAAAAATTTTTTTTAATTAAAAATTTAATTTTTTAGAACAAATTTGGTTGTTGAAAAGAAATTTTAAAAATGATCAAATTATTGCTAATTTTAACGTAATTTTTTAATAATAAAAATTTTAATTTTTGTAACAAATCAATTATAGAAAAAAAAAAATTAAAAAATAAATAAACTTAATTTTTTAAAACCAATTTATTTGTAAAAAAATGGATTAGAAATTTTTATAAAAAATAATTTATTTATGATTTAAAATTAGCAAAGTTTCTCAAAAATTTGATAAATCTCCATGAAAATTAGTTAGCCGACATTTAATAATTTTTTTTATTGAAAAAAACATTATTTTAATGAAAAATATCATTATCATTTAATGAAAAAAAAAAAATATCATTAACAAAGAAACTTTAAAAACTCCAAATGCAATTTTAAAAAAATATTTTTTAGTTTTAAATTAATGATAAAAAATTAAAAACGTCAGCTAACTTTAATATTATTAAATCTCCAGTAATTTTTTTTAGAACTCAAAAATAAAACACAAGTTTGATGACACCGCATTAAATAAATAAATAAAAAAAAAAAAATTTCTTGAAAAATAATAAACAAATATTAAAAAAAAAAATACTATTAGTCATACCTCAAATTTAATTCCATGAATAATTCGCATCTGTTTAAGAAATGTCGATTTTCCACTTTCACCAGCACCAAGCAATAACAATTTAACCTGTCGCCTAAATGTTTGTCGATCTTTCTCCAGCATCCGATCTATTTCCTGGCTCTTGTACCTCTGTTCTATTTCTTCAGGACTAAATTTAAACCTCAAACAACAACTGCACGACCACGTTAATGAATTCGCCATTTTAATCTCAAACTTAATCCGCACCAGCTCCAAAAAATATCAATATTAAATATTAAATATAAACAACTGTTAACTAAAACTAACCACGTATTGTAGAAAATAATTAACAATAACCAGCGAGCACCAGTAACTAGACCATCACAAGGTCTCTGCTAAATTAGCACTTATTACACTCTACCTTCCTGCGTCCACAATCCACACATCAAACATATATATGTAGCGTTAATACCTACATACATATATGCCGAGATATTACTCACTAATAATATATTTTAAAAGCATATATACGTCTTCCTTCCGACTTTCTTTCTCAGTTCTCGGCACATTCACATTCACCTCCGACCTCCAGATTATCCTCCGTCCCCACCCGATTGCTTTTTTAAATCTGTAACAATTATTTTTTATTATTAAAATGTTTTTATTAATTACACATTTACACTTAATAATTAAAAAATTATTTTTTTTTTACAAAGCATGTATTTTTTTATAATTATAATTAATTTAAAAAATAATTTTAATACAATTTTTGTAATATATAAATTATTTTAAAAAAAATTGACAATTAATAATTTAAAAAAAATTAAAAAATGCAATTTTTTTTAAATAATTCTTTGGAACAAATTAAAAAAAAAAAAAATAAAAAATAAAGTAACTGCTAATTTTAATGCAATTTTTGTAATAAATAAATTATTTTAAAAAAATTGACAATTAGAAATTTTAATAAAATAAAAAATGCAATTTTTTAAAAACAATTTTTTGGAATAACTTTAATTGTTAAAAAAAATTGAAAAAATATGGCCGACTGTTAATTTTTGTAACAAATGAATTATGTCAAACAATTAAGTTAGAAATTTATAAAAAATTAAAAAATGATCAAGTAACTGGTAATTTATAATGCAATGCTTGTAATAAATAATTTATGACAAAAAATTGACAATTAGAAATTTAAAAAAAAAATGCAATTTTTTAGAATAAATTTGAATGTTGAAAGAAATTAAAAAATGGCTGACTCTGCTAATTTTAATGAAATTTTTGTAACAAATGAATTATTTATTTATTTATTTATTTAAAAAAAATTGACAAATAGAAATTTTAAAAAAATTAATAACTGATCATTTGAGTGCTAATTTTAATAGAATTTTTTGAAACAAATTAAAAAATGATTAAGTCACTGCTAATTTTAATGCAATTTTTATTATAAATAAATTATGAAAATTAGAAATTAAAAAAAAAAAGTTAAAAAATGCAATTTTTTACAAACAATTTTTTGGAGTAAATTTGTTTGTTAAAACAAATTAAAAAAATGGCTGATAATTTTGATGTAATTTTTGTAACAAAAATGAATTATCTCAAAAAATTGAGAATTAAAAAATGTAATTTTTTAGAACAAATTTGTTAAAATAAATTCCAAGTAAATGTTTATTTTTATGAAAATGAAGTTAGCCGACATTTCAGAATTTTTAGAAATTTTTTATTGAAAAATTTTCAATTAAAAAATAAAAAAAAAAATTTCACATGTAAAAAACTTGAAAAGCTATCAGTGCAATTTTTTAAAAATATATTTTTAGTTATAATTTAATTAATAAAAAGAATCAAAAATTTCTAAGAGTCTGCTAATTTCAGTGTCATTAATTTTTTTAAAGAAAATTAAATTATCAGTTTTATGATAATTTTTATAAAAAAAAATTGACATGTAAATTTTTCAAAAATTCAATATATAATTTTAAAAAAATCCTTTTTTGAGACAAATTTGATAATTAAAAAAAGAAAATAAAAAATTATCAAGTGTCTGTAAACATAAATGTCATTAAATAAAGACACAATGACATTGAGTATTCACCTGGGCGTTCACGCCATCAGTTCTCGAGCACTGCTTTTATTTCTTTCACCATTCACTTCAGTAACTTTTCCCTTATTAAATTAATTCCCTTAAATATTAATAAACAATTATAAAATCCAAATTAAAAAAAAAAAAAATTACAATAAAAAAATCTAAATAACAATAATAATTATCCAGATAAATTTCACAGTAAGAACACTTGCTCGCCAACATGATCAGCCATGATAACTTTATTTATATATTATACATAAATATTTATAAAATATATATATATAATGCACCGGTAAAAAGAGGCTTTGTCTTGGCTTATAACGTCTCCAAGTAAAGTTATAAGTTCTTATACTTGCACTTAACTTATATATATAAAATATAATATATATATATATATTGTATATTCTACCGTGAGCAGAATATTCTACTAGTGACGGTAGTGTAGGTATTTTATTATATATAATACACTGAATAGGAAGTTGAGTTGCTGTTATATGTATTTACTTATACTGTAAATTTAAAAGACTGGAATATTGTCAAGCTCAAGCTGGAGCTGGACCGATTTAAGATGGATCGTACTGTTTACTTGCATCAGATGTAAGTAGTGAATTTTTTTTAAAATTATTTATTTTTTTTTTATTATTAATTTTTTTTTATTATTTTTTTTACTTGCAAGGTTTAAATATATTTATGGAAAAAATATGGATTTGGCACACGGAACACTCGGAGCTCGCGAAAGTACGATAACGCATTCGGATACTCACTACATATCATAATATAACGTGTAACTACATTTTAGTATTTTAGTGTGGGGGAGACAACCAATAAAATATGTGTGCGCTCACGGTAAATATATGTCTTTCAATCACACATATATGTGCTCACTTGCTGAACTTGCTGGATGTGTTTTTTAATGGCCGGTAGTTTTGATGGCAATGGAGGAAATTTTTGTCCTGCTGTAAGTAAGACAGTTTTAATACTAAAAACTGTAAGTTTTTATGTATAGGTTTTTGAATATTAAATATGAGAACTAAAAAGTCTTTTTTTTGAATTGCACTTATAGTTCTTCAAAAGTTTTTTTGAACAAAAATGATTTTTAAAAAATTTCATTTTTTAAATTTTTAAATGGAAATTTTTTGAGAACAAGAATTATTAAAAATCTGATGATTTTCATAAAATTAGCTTGTATCTTGAGAACTATTGACATTTTTAAAGATATAAGCTCATTTCAATGTTATACACATCGAGAGCTTTCATTTGAGTACCCACATGGCATTTTTCATATATTTTATATATATGGTATTTGTTAAATATATAAATATATAAAATATATTTAATATTGATGTGGGTACTCAAATGAAAGGTCTCGATGAGTGTAACATCGGGATGAGTTTATATCTTTAAAAATGTCTATATTTAAGAAATTACATTGTATCTTGTGAACTATTGACATTTTTAAAGATATAAGCTCATTTCAATGTTACACTCATCGAGACCTTTCATTTAAGTACCCACATCAATTTTTCATATATTTATATATATTATATATATGTATATATGAAAAATATATCAAAATGAATGTGGGTACTCGAATGAAAGGTCTTCATGAGTGTATCATCGGGATGAGCTTATATCTTTAAAAAGGCCAATACTTAAGAAAGTACAGTGCAATTTAACAAAAGTTATTATTTAATCAACCAAAATTTTATTTATTTATATTTGACAAGTCATAGCAGTCACATAGTGACTGCAAAGTCACTGTTTTTTATTATTTTGATTTTTCATAGAACTGACGGCTTAATATTTCTTCTTTAATTTTTTTAAATTATAAACTATTTATTTCTTCTTTATTTTCAGGTTCAGGATTTTTTTGACAGGTGTTTGATGGCAATGGCGAAATTTTCTTGCTGCTATAAGTAAAACAGTTTAATTTTATTTATTTGCTTATTTTTTATTAAAATTAATTTAGCAGATATTTTACAATTTTAAGAATTTTTTTAACAAATAAATAATAGCAAAAAAAATTGACAAGTAGAAATTTTAAAAAATTAAAAATACAATTTAGACAAATTAGATTATTAAATAAAATAAAAAAAAAAAACGCCATTCGGCCACACCCGAAATGGAAGGTAGATTTCACTGATTGAAATTCTTGATAGAATGACGTACATAAGTCGGTTGTATTACTCATTGCCTGAAAATGGTTTAGTTGCACTCTTAACTTTGATAAAATAACTAAAAATGGTCAAAATGTCAATGCTATATACGTCAAATTAACGGTAATTTCATGAGCTATCACATAAATTTTTCAAAAATTAGCTATCTCTGTTCAATCAAAAGTTATACATCAATGAAGTGGCCGAAAACGTGATTTTCACTTTTTTGAAAATTTTAAATGGCCGCCATTTCTAAACTAATTGATCGATTTTGCTCATCTTCGAACTCGTTCAAGGTAATTACCTAAAGAATATGTGTACTGAGTTTCATCTAAATCCGTTGAGAATTGTAGACGCTATCGTGTCCACAAGCCGCGTTATATTACATATGTATATAGATAAATATATAAACTTTTGAACCAATGCTAATTTTGAGCTTTACTCGACTATATAAGAGATAAAATGACAAAATTCCGTGTGAATTCCGACACAAGGTCCAATGCAATAGATAGATTTCTACGAAATCTACCTAAAATGATCAAGTGACTGTTAACTAATTGATTTTTTTTTACAGATTTTTCAGACGGAAAATTATTAAAAAAATGATTGTAAATTTAATATAACTCATGACGAAATAAACTTGACCAAATTAAAAGACATTGAGACATTAAAAATTTTGAGAAATTTCCTGCGAAAGAAAAAAACTGCCAGCGATTTTTCCAAAGAAGCCGATTAATAATATCCAATTACCAAAGTGAATAAGTTTTTTGTTCAGGATTTTCAGCTAACCACTTGCGCATTTTTCTTTGAACAATTCGACCAAGATCGTCGACATTTTCAAACTTTAAATGAATTATTTGGCCGTAAGAATTGAGGCTCAGTTTATTTACTCTGGATAAAACTCCAACAAGAAAAACTTTTGTTTTACTGCTACTAACATGGCACATCAGAAAATCCAATAGATTATCATACTGGGAGATGACGTAGTCCTGAAAAAATAAAATAAGTTATTTATAACTTTTTTTTATTAATTTAATATTGAAGAAAAATAATTACACTTACTGTCTTTTGCAATTGACACGTCGAATAAGTAGGGCGTAATTCAGTACATCGAACAATTATATTCTTTCCTTTAATTGGAGACATGAAGCACTTTGAAAAATTCGTATCTTCATAGTCGGCCTTCCTCTTAACTATTTTTTTAATTTGGTTTTCTTCATTGTAACCTGACACTTCTTCATAAGCCAATTGCGCAGTACCGACCAACAAAGTTTTATTATTATCTGCTACTATCGGTTGATCGGTAATGACTATTGCAATTTTACGCAAATTTGTATCATATTCACTGGTTAATTTTGTGTTGTAAAAAATATTTTTAGCTTGTACAAATGCCATGTTGGGGAATCTCATTGAGTTGTGGTAGAAGTCTATAACTATTTGCCAATGATCTTCTTTAGAAGCGCTGAAATAATTTTAAATAATTAGGTATAAGCAACATTGCAGTCACTATGTGACTGCTGTGACTTGCAAACTATTTATAAAAAAAATTTTGGTTTATTAAATAATGACTTTTGTTAAATTGCACTGTACTTTCTTAAATATTGACGTTTTTAAAGATATAAGCTCATCCCGATGTTACACCCATCGAGACCTTTTATTTGAGTACCCACATCAATTTTTCATATATTTTATATATTTATATATTACACAAATACCATATATATAAAATATATAAAAAATGCCATGTAGGTAATTAAATGAAAGGTCTCGATGAGTGTAAAATCGGGATAAGCTTATATCTTAAAAAATGTCAATAATTAAGACATGACATTGTATCTTGTGAACTATTAACCTTTTTAAAGATATAAGCTCATCCTGATGTTATACTCATTAAGACCTTTCATTTGAGTATCTACATGTATTTTTTATATATTTGTCATATATACATATATACAATATATATAAATATATGAAAAATTGATGTGGGTACTCAAATGAAAGGTCTTGATAAATGTAACATCAGGATGAGCTTATATCTTTAAAAATGTCAATAGTTAACAAAATACAATGTCATTTCTTAAATATTGACATTTTTTAAGATATAAACTCATTTCGATGTTACACTCATCGAAACCTTTCATTTGAGTACCCACATGGCATTTTTCATATATTTTATATATATGGTATTTGTGAAATATATAAATATATAAAATATATGAAAAATTGATCTGGGTACTCAAATGAAAGGTCTCGATGAGTGTAACATCGGGATGAGCTTATATCTTTAAAAATGTCAATATTTCACAGGATACAAGGTCATTTCTTAATAATGTGTCTAGAGATAGAGCATTTCCAAATGCAGTCTAAATACTTATTATCATAAATTCAACCATCGGTAAGTATGATATGAAACTTTAAAAAGGCACAAATTCAAGTCAAGACCTTTACAATGACACTAAATTTTATTAAAAATAAAATAGATAATAATAATATAGATAATACAAAAAAAAAATAAATTTTTATCAAAAAAATTGTTTATTTTTTTTTTTTTTTTGGAAAAAAAAATTAATTTAATCGGCAAAATGTCTTGGACTCCATTTATCGAGTGATTTATCTTGGAATTTTCATGTTGCAAAAACAGTAAGCAAAATAAACTCTACATTATATAGTCTGAAATTACGTAAAAATATTTACACTGCTAATATAAAAAAACTCCTAGTCTTAGCAACTATTTTACCCCTAATTGACTATTGCATTATTGTTTTAACAAATTCAACATATGAAAATGATTGTAAACTTCAACGTGCGTTAAACTTAGCTGTTCGCTTTATCTTTCACTTGAAGCGTGACGAACACATCACGCCCTACAGACGTGAACTTGGTTGGCTATCTATTAAAAGTCGCCGTATTTATTATGTTGCTTGCTATTTTTATAAACTTTTAGACATAGAAAAACCTTGTTACTTGCGAGATTTATTCTGTGAAGATCTTACTGTTAGGCATTCTGAAAGATTAGCAGCAAAGAAAAACAGTAGTTTCAAAATGCCGAACTTTGCTACAACTTATTATGAATATTCTTTTGTTGTAACGGTCATACGTCTTTGGGACGAACTTCCAGTTGATATTGTTAACTCGTCTAGCCTAGAAATCTTCAAGAATAAACTGTTCGATTACTTATTTAATCTGGATATTTAATCTCTATTGTCTTATTCACTATATTTGGTTAAATCGTTTTATTTGTATACTATTAATATCACAGAACTTAACTCTTATTTTTAACATTGTTACTTAATATGTAAAATCGTTAATATTTATAAATACTTTTTGAATATTGTCATCTGGCCAAATTGGCTTTGGCATAATAATAATAATAATAATAAATTAATCTAATCTAATCTAATCTAATTTACTTACTGATAAATACATTCAGAATCTCCAATAAAAACCCGGGGTTCAACTGGCGTAACTTGACAACTAATATATATATTATCAACACATCGAACAAAGTTAACCAACCATGTGTTATAATTATTTTCAATTGTATCAAATTCTTCTCCCATAAATTCATCAAAATTGATTTTTTCTCCTTCAATAATACTAACGTTGCATAGATTTAAAAATATTGACAGTATAATTAATAATTTAATAGCCATGATTTATTTGTATTAATAAAATACTTCACTACTCTTTTGATAATTGATCCAACTGTTCTAAAAGTATAAGCAATACTATGCAGAGTAATTTTTGGTAGCATCAATGTACAGTAATTAACAGTGACGTTATCAAAGAAGAATACTATGAACTGAATGATTATTTTGGGAACTATAGATTTATGAGGAATATTTTGAAAGAATTATTGAATTAAGCTTTACATGTGTGGAAAGTCTAGTAGATGTAGAAAAAAAAAGTTTGTTTACATTTATAAATTCGTTGCTTCAATTTGGACATTTGAGTATAAAATTGAGAAGGTCAGAATTAAAAAAAATTAATTTTGATATTTTAATTTAAAAAACAAAATTAGTTTAATTATTATTAATTTTTATAAATTAATTGGATTTTGTTTAAAATTTAAAAACAATTATTATATTTTTTTAATTTTATTTTTTTAGTTAATTAAGAAAAAAATTTGAAAAAAAATTTTTTTTTAATTGTAATTTTGAAAAAAGTAAAAATAAATTTTTGATGTTAAAAAAGTTTGAAAAAACTTTTAATTACAAATTTAATCATTTTTTTTCTTGAAATTAAGTATTTTTTTTATTTTTTAATTTTTCAATAATTCACAAAAAAAATAGGAAAATTTTCAGATAGTTAATTTAATTTTCATAGACAGTTAAATAATTTTAATAATTTTTTTTCTTCATAAAATTGACGGCTTAATATTTCTTCTTTAATTTTTTTTAAATTATAAACTAGTTATTTCTTCTTTATTTTCAGGTTCAGGATTTTTTTACAGGTGTTTGATGGCAATGGCGGAATTTTCTTGCTGCTATAAGTAAAACAGTTTAATTTTATTTATTTGTTTATTTTTAATTAAAATTTATGTAGCAGATATTTTACAATTTTAAGAATTTTTTTAACAAATAAATAATAGCAAAAAAAATTGACAATTAGAAATTTTAAAGAATTAAAAATACAATTTAGACAAATTAGTTTATTAAATAAAATAAAAAAATGATCAAGTGACTGTTAACTAATTGATTTTTTTTACAGATTTTTCAGACGGAAAATTATTAAAAAAATGATTGTAAATTTAATAAAACTCATGAAGAAATAAACTTCACCAAATTAAAAGACATTGAGACATTAAAGATTTTGAGAAATTTTCTGCGAAAGAAGAAAACTGCCAGCGATATTTCCAGAGAAGCCGATTAATAATATTCAATTACAAAAGTGGATAAATTTTTTTTTCAGGATTTTCGGCTAACCACTTACGCATTTTTCTTCTAATAAGTACCTTAAGATCGTCGACAACTTCAAACTTAAAATTAACTACTGATTGCTTATAAGAATTAAGGGTCGGTTTATTTAGTCTAGATAAAACTCCAGTAAGCAGAACTTTTTCTGTGTTGTTCCCAACATGGCACATCAGGAAATCTGATAGTTTGTTATACTGCTCGATGAGGTAATCCTGAAAAAAAAAAAAAAAAAAAGTTATTTATAATCTATATAATTAAGAGAATAAAAAAAATTTTGTGTTCAGGGTAGTCACAAGATAAAATCAGTTTTTTTAGGCATTTAGGCTGAATTCGAAAATGCTCTATCTCAAAATACATAATTAAGAAATGACCTTGTATCTTGTGAACTATTGACATTTTCAAAGATATAAGCTCGTCCCGATGTTACACTCATCGAGACCTTTCATTTGAGTACCCACATCAATTTTTCATATATTTTATTATATATTATATATGTATATAGGAAAAATATATCAAAAATACATGTGGGTACTCAAATGAAAGCTCTTGATAAGTGTAACGCCAGGATGAGCTTATATCTTAAATAAATAGATCATATATATGCATATATGAAAAATATATCAAAAATGCATGTGGGTACTTAAATGAATGGTCTCGATGTGCGTAATATCAGGATGAGTTTATATCTTCAAAAATGTCAATACTTAAAAAAGTACAGCTTTATTTATCAAAAGTCATTATTTAAAAAATCAAAATTTTATTTATCTATAGTTCATAAGTCACGGCAGTCACAGAGTGACTGCAAGGGTGCTAGTGTTTATTACTATCGAAGATAATTAATTACACTTACCGTTTTTTCTAAGTGACACCACATATAGCTAAGGCTTAAGTCGGAACATCGAGCAACTATATTTTTTCCCTTAACTGGAGACATGAAGCACTTTGAAAAATCCGTTGTTTGATACTCGGCATTAGTACTAGCTATTTTTTTTATTTGATTTTTTCTATTATATCCTGACACTTCTTCATAAGCCAATTGCGCAGTACCGACCAACAAAGTTTTATTATTATCTGCTACTACCGGTTGATCGGTAATGACTATTGCAATTTTACGCAAATTTGGATCATATTCACTGGTTAAATTTGTATTGTAAAAAATATTTTTAGCTTGTACAAATGCCATGTTGGGGAATCTCATTGAGTTGTGGTAGAAGTCTATAACTATTTTCCAATGACCTATGTTTGAAGCGCTGAAATAATTTTAAATAATTATATATAACAAAAAAAAGTTGAAATTAGTTTAGCAGGTATTTGATAATTGAAAAAAAAATTTTTTTAACAAATAAATTATAGCAAAAAAAATAGACATGGAGTAATTATAAATTATTAAAAATGCAATTTTTTTTTTAAATTCTTAAGTATCCACGTTTTTAAAGATATAAGCTGATCCAGGTGTTACACTCATCAAGAGCTTTCGTTTGAGTACCCACATGCATTTTTGATATATTTTTCATACATACATATATATAATATATATAAATATATAAAATATATGAAAAATTGATGTGGGTACTCAAATGAAAGGTCTCGATGAGTGTAACATAAGAATGAGCTTATATCTTTAAAAATGTCAATAGTTCACAAAATACAATGTAATTTCTTAATTATTGACATTTTTTAAGATGTAAACTCGTTTCGATGTTACACTCATTGAGACCTTTTATTTGAGTACCCACATGGCATTATTGATATATTTTTCATATATATAATATATATACATATATATAATATATATAAATATATGAAAAATTGATGTGGGTACTCAAATGATAGGCCTTGATCAGTGTAACATCAGGATGAGCTTATATCTTTAAAAAGGTCAATAGTTCACACGATACAAGGTCATTTTTTAATTATGAAACCTTGCTAAAGGCAAAAATTCAAATCAACACCTTTAAAATGACATTAAATTTAACTATAAATACCTATTTTATTAAATTAATAATATAGATAATATGAAAAACAATTTATTTTTATCAAAAAAAAAAAAAATTAATTTACTTACTGATAAATACATTCAGAATCTCCAATAAAAACCCGGGGTTCAATTGGCACAACTTGACAACTAATATATATATTATTATCATTTGCTATAAAGTTAATCAACCATGTGTCATTATTATTTTCAATTGGCTTAAATTCTTCTTCTCTAAATTTATTAAAATCGGTTTCGTCTTCTTCAATAATTCTAACGTTGTATTTGTTTAAAAGAATTGATAGTATAATTAATAATTTAATAGCCATGATTTATTTGTATTAATAAAATACTTCACTACTCTTTTGATAATTGATCCAACTGTTCTAAAAGTATAAGCAATACTGTGCAGAGTAATTTTTGGTAGCATCAATGTACAGTAATTAACAGTGATGTTATCAAAGAAGAATTCTATGAATTGAATGATAATTTGGAAACTATAGATTTATGATATATATTTTGAAAGAATTATTGAATTAAGCTTTGCATGTATGGAAAGTCTATAGTAGGTGAAGAAAAAAAAAGTTTGTTTATATTTATGAATTTGATGCATCAATTTGGATATTTGAGTATAAAATTAAGAAGGTCAGTAGTTAAGAAAATTAATTTTGAGATTTTTAATTAAAAAACATAATTAAATAAATGAAAGACTAGCAACTATCAATAAATAAAATTTTAGTTTATTAAGCAATGATTTTTGTTAAATTGTATTGAACTTTTTTAACTATTGAGGTTTTTAAAGATATAAGCTCATCTCGAGCTTTCATTTGAGTACCCACATGCATTTTTGATATATTTCTCATATATACATATATATAATATATATATATAAATATATAAAATATATGAAAAATTGATGTTGGTACTCAAATAAAAGGTCTTGATGAGTGTAACATCGGGATGAACTTATATCTTTACAAATGTCGATATTTCATAAGATACAAGGTCATTTCTTAATTATTGACATTTTTTAAAATATAAACTCATTTCGATGTTACACTCATCGAGAGCTTTCATTTGAGTACCCATATGAAATTTTTTTATATATTTTATATATATGGTATTTGTAAAATATATAAATATATAAAATATATGAAAAATTGATGTGGGTACTCAAATGAAAGGTCTCGATGAGTGTAATGTCAGGGTGAGTTTATATCTTTAAAAATGTCATTACTTGACAAGATACACTGTCATTTCTTAAGATATAAACTCATTATAATGTTATACTCGTCGAGATCTTTCATTTAAGTACCCACATGACATTTTTTATATATTTTATATATATATGGTATTTGTGATATATATAAATATATAAAATATATGAAAAATTGATGTGGGTACTCAAATGAAAGGTCTTGATGAGTGTAACATCGGGATGAGCTTATATCTTCAAAAATATCAATTTTTATAAAGGTAAAAACAAATTTTTTATTACAAATCCAATTATTTGTTAAAGCGATGATACATTTATTCCTTAAAAAAAATTATTTTCTCAAAATTAAATATTTTTATATAAAAAAAAATCAAAATAAAATACACCAAAAAATTAACGAAATAGTTTATTATCTCTTCAAGTATTATTACATTATAAAATTTATTACAAATCCCCTTAACAAAATATCCTCCATTAAAACCTAACTCCTTAATCATAATAATAAAATCATAATCTTAACTCCTAAAAAAACCACAATCTTAATAATTAAAAACTATAATACACATTCACATTCCCTCCCTCCCTCCCTCTCAAGTAGACTACCTAGTCCCAAGATCATCCTCATCCGCACAAAGCTCCCCATCTTCAAAATACGCCCTGAGCTTAACCGAAGCTTCATAAATCTCATCCATCAACTCAGTTTTCAGAGTAACTTCACTCTTAAGGTCATAGACCTGCTTCTGGTACCTCATAAGATTAATCCTCAGTTGATTCCCAGTGAGCTTTTCCTTCCTGAGCTCCTCCGTAAGGTCCCGGTTTATTTCCTCCAGATGTTCTATCTGCTTGTCCTTTTCACTCAATCTCAACATCAGCTCTTTAGCAGAAGGTTGGCTGTCTTTAAAGCTCTCCCCAGCAGAGATTCTAGACTGGAGCTCTATATCTTTGCTTCTTTCCTTCATCTTGTCCATCATGCCCCAAAAAATATCAGCCATGATACTTACACTGCTAAATTGATTTCTTCTTGATCTTGTTAACTCTGTTGTTGTTGATACTAAATTTTCCGAAATCTCAAATGTTTTTTTATTATTACTATTATTATTATTATTATTATTATTATTATTACTACTACTACTACTACTACTGCTACTATTATAATTATAATTATTATTATTATTAATAGATTTCTTCTTAGATATAAAATTAATTTTTTCATCAAAATTTTTTTCCTCAAAATTAACTCTTGAATTACAAGCTTCATTATTAAAATTATCCTGATTAAACTCAATACTCTCCATTGAATTATCAAGACTCTTAGACTTTCCAGTTTCTTCACAAAATTTTCTGACTTTTTCTATAAAATTTGTATCATTAAGCAATTTAGGATCCGCTGCTTGCATCTTAATAGTCATTTTAGGAGAAGTTTTAATTAAACCATTTAAATTAGCCCCTTCATTTGAATTAAATTTTATTTTAGGCAGCTTGTTGATGTCATCTATATTCTTGCTGACTCTCACTGGCTTTACTGGAGTCTTTATCTTTGTCTTGGTAATAACTGGTGTAGTAACACCGTTAATACAAGGAGATCCAGACTTGCTGGGTGGATTGTCGTCGTAGGTACTCTTCGGGCAGATTAATATTACTTTGTTGTTTATTACTTGGTCGCCGACCTTCTTGACCTTTGTGGGTCTGCGCCTTCTGAGTCTTTGATGATCGTTCAGCCGGAGCAAAGGTGAGAGCTCTGCTACTAAGGCGGTACTTAGTTCTTGCTCTGGATCAGTTGGTTCTAAATACTCGTATGATGTCTCTCCTAGTGGTTCTTGCATGGTGGAATTTTTGGTCATTTTTATTTGAAAGTCACCACTAGGTCCTACGAAATCACGCTCGGGCTTTCTCTTGGCCATTATTTAGAAACTTCTTTTTTGTTTTGTCTGAAATATATTTTTATTTATTTAGATTTTTATAAAAGTTATGTTTGACATTTTTTTTTTAATTATTAAATTAGAAAAAAATATTTTTTTTTAATTGCGCTTATTTTTTTTTAATTAAATTAGAACAAAAAAATATTTTTTAAAAATTGCACTTAGTTTTTATGACACTGAAGATAGCAGATGTCTAAAAATTTTTGATTTTTTTTATTAATTAAATTACAACTAAAAAAATATTTCTAAAAAATTGCACTTATAGTTTTTCAAGTTTTTTACATGTGACAATTTTTTTTTTAATTGTTTAATTTAAATTTTTTCAATAAAAAATTTCTACAAATTTTGAAATGTCGGCTAACTTCATTTTTATTATTTGTTAAAGTTTCTTACAAATGAAAATTTTTTTTTTAATAAAAAAAAATTTTTAAATGGCTCACTTGATTTTCAATAATTTTTGTAAAAAAAAAGTACAAAAAAATAATGAAAATGAAGTTAGCCGACATTTCAAAATTTTTAGAAATTTTTTATTGAAAAAATTTCAATTAAGAAATTAAAAAAAAAATTTCACATGTAAAAAACTTGAAAAGCTATTAGTGCAATTTTTTAAAAATATTTTTTTAGTTATAATTTAATTAATAAAAAAAAATCAAAAATTTTTAGGCGTCTGCTAATTTCAGGGTCATAAAAAATATGACACTGAAGTTAGCAGACGTCTAAAAATTTTTGATTTTTTTTTTTTTAATTAAATTACAACTAAAAAGATTTTTTAAAAAATTGTACTTATAGTTTTTCAAGTTTTTAACAAGTGATATATTTTTTTTAATTGTTTAATTGAAATTTTTTGGATAAAAAAATTTCTAAAAATTTTGAGATGTCAGCTAATTTCATTTTCATAAAAAAATTGATAATATTTAAGCTAGCTGTCACTTAAAAATTTTTTAATTTTATTTAACAAAAAAATTTGTTTTAAAAAATAGGATTTTTTATTTTTTTTAATTTCTAAGTGTTCAATTTTTGTCATAATTTATATGATATTAAAGTTAGCAGTCACTTTATCATTTTTTAATTGTTTTTTATAAACTAATTTTTATAAAAAATTGACAATTAGAAATTAAAAAAAAAATAATTGCTATTTTTTGAAAAAATTTGTTTATTAAAAACAATTAAAAAATGATTAATTAACTGTTAATTTTAATGAAAATTAATTTATTAGAAATTTTATAATTTTAAGACTGTAAACAATAAATTGTGGTAGAAAATTGACATGTAAAAATAAAAAAAAATAAAAAATGCAAATTTTTTGAAAACAATTTTTGTGAACGAATTTGTAAGTTAAAAAATATTGATTTTTTTTTTAATAAATTATTGTTATGTTGAATAATAAATAAAAAACATTAAGAATAACAATACTAACCTTTAAATAGTGTTTTTATCAAATTGGCTCCATCTTGAAAGACTTGAATGGTAGAATTAAAACACACTTATTTAGTTTGTGTACAAAAGTTTAATGATTATCTTTATGGTTTATTGGAATTGTTTATTTTATTAATTTTTTTTATACAATAATATTTTGTTTTGTTGTTATATTCATAATGTAAACTATCTGTTGAATCTATTTTATCTGTTGGATACTCGGTTAGTAAGATCGAGTATTCGCTTACCAATAAAATGACAGATGGTGGGAATTCCATTTTAAAATGGTGGAAATAAATATTTTTTAGTTATAATTTAATAAACAAAATATGATTAGAAACAATGAAAATTAATTTAGCACATATTTAATAATTTTAAGAATTTTGTAACATATAGATTAGAAAAAAAAATTAACACAAAGAAATTTTAAAAAATAATTTTTTGGAACAAACTGTTTTGTTAAATAAAATTAAAAAATGGTCAAGTGAATGATACTGAAGTTGACAAATATTAGAAAGTTTTTTATAAATTTTTAGTGTGAAAATTTTTAAAAGCATTTCTTATTTTTATTGATTTGTTATAAGATTTTTTAAAATATTGACAGCTGACAGCTAACTTCAGTATCATTCAAGTTACTGCTAACTATCATATTATAAAAATAAAAAAAATTGACAGCTATATGATATTAAAGTTAAGTCACTTGACCATTTTTTAATTTTTTGTAACAAACAAAATTGTTCCAAAAAATTATTTTAAAAAAATTGCATTTTTTTATTTATTAAAATTTCTAATTGTTAATTTTTCTCATAATTTATTTATTACAAAAATGGCATTGAAATTAGCAGACGGCCATTTTTTAAATTTTTTTAACAAATTTATTCCAAAAAATTGTTTTTAAAAAATTGCACTTTTTAATTTATTAAAATTTCTAATTGTTAATATTTGCCATAATTCACTTGTTCCAAAAAATAAATTAAATTAATATTAATGACAGCTGTCAGCTAACTTCAGTATAATTTAATTTATTCCAGCGGGAAATTCAACAGCGTGAAGTTGTCAGTATAAAAGTGACCGTCAGCTGGTACGCTCCATAAATGACAACAGCTAAGATATAAAAGTGAGTAAATTCAGTCAGAACTGAGTGTAAACTTTGTTCATTACTGTTCATTAGTCAATAGGCCAAGTAGGAGTCGGGAGCGGAGAGAAACGAGGAAGAGGAAGAGAGTATTGAGTATAGAGCTAGAGCAAGACTGGAAGTGAGAGGCGAGTGTCAAGTTAAGTTTCTGATATTTTATTTATTCAACAACTTAGTGACAGAATTATGGAGATAATTTGTGTTTGCTAGCAGCCAATTAAAAAGTAAGTCATTAATTTTATTAATTTATTTAATTATAAATTATAAATAAATAATTAATTATACTTATTACTGAGTACAGGTTGGTCCGATCACCTGTCAAGGTATCATGATATTTTCCTGGATGATATTATAAAAAAAAATCAAGATTAAAATATTTAATAAGACATAAATTATAGTCAAATAAAATCAAAATGACAGAAAGTCTTATCAATGAGTGGCTAGCAGACTACGCTGATGTATCACCAGCTGAGCTGCCTACCTTTGCAAACACTTTGTCTCAGGACAACGAAATAGTAAGAGCTCTGTACGTGCTTCTTGAGGAGCGGAACAAGTACTCTGAGGTGATTATTTTTATTTAACTTTATACTATACTTACCGGATGTTAAGATAAATAAAACTGTCAGTGGTTTATTTAAGTTTGAGGCTGATGATTCATTCTTGACCACAGCCCGTTTCTTTTTATTAGCAGTTGTAATTTTATTTTATTTTTTCAGCTGATTGATCCAGTTTGTAATCAATTGTTCAACTTCTATCGATCGAGAGAAGTTCAATTACAACGATTTACATTGCAATTTGTTCCTACACTTATTTTTATTTATCTTAATGCTCTTGCACATGGTGATATTAAGGTAAGGTATTTTTTTAAATAAATTAAATAATAACTTTTGTTAAATTGCACTGTACTTTCTTAAATATTGAGGTTTTTTAAGATATAAGCTCATTTTGATGTTACACTCGTCGAGAGCTTTCATTTGAGTACCCACATGCATTTTTTATATATACATATATATTTTGAAAATATAAGCTCATCTTGATGTTAGACTCGTCGAGAGCTTTCGTTTGGGTACCCACATGCATTTTTGATATATTTTTCATATATACATATATATAATATATATAAATATATAAAATATATGAAAAATTGATGTGGGTACTCAAATGGAAGGTCTTGTTGAGTATAACTTCGGGGTGAGCTTATATCTTTAAAAATGTCAATAGTTCACAAGATACATAGTCATTTTTTTAATGTTGACATTTTTTAAGATATAAACTCATTTTGATGTTACACTCATCAAGAGCTTTTATTTGAGTACCCACATGCATTTTTGATATATTTTTCATATATATATGATATTTGTGAAATATATAAAATATATGAAAAATTGATGTGGGTACTCAAATGAAAGGTCTTGATGAGTGTAACATCTGGATGAGCTTATATCTTTAAAAATGTCAATAGTTCACTAGATACAATGTCATTTCTTAATTATATTTCTAAAAAAAAAAAAAATTATTACATTTTTTTAAAATTCTTAACCCAATAAATTGATAAAAATAAAACATCATAAACGATAAGCCTAAAAATAAATATTATGATGACACAAATATAATAAATTACAAATTTTATTATTCACGATATTGCATAATATAAATGACTAGCAAATTACAAAGATTAAAGTACTAGTATATTAAAAATATGAGATCACGTCATCTTGAATAAATACCACACAAATAAAATATAACAGTAATTAAATTTGTCCTTACAAATATCTATTCAAACCAGCACTAATTTTTTTTTTTTATAAAACAGAATTGCCGATCAGTGGAGACGCTGCTGATAGGACTTTACAACCTAGAAGTGGTGAGCGAGACAGGAGATTCAAAGACCGTGTCATTTCGACTGCCCTCGCTGGCGATGCTGTCGATCTACCACGAGCCCTCGAGCCTGACCCACGCTTCTCTGACCGAGAGCGCGGTGAGGCATTTTGAGGAGTGCAACTCCAAGCTCGTCAGCTGGGGACCTCTCCCGCAAATTGAGACCCTCAATGCTCAGAACCGGCTGAAAGTTATGACGGCGCTCCTGTTTATTTACAATCAGCAGCTGAGTTACATTCAGAAGTCTGCGTTGGAACAATTGTGCAAAGTTGCTACCAAGTGCGTTAATTAAATTATTTAATTAGCTTATCTATACTAAGTAGTACAAGTCAAAAATTAATTTATATAATTAAGAGACTAAGAAAAATTTTTAACGGGTATATCTTTATCGTAAATTGGGTTTGATATTTTTTCAGCGATAGCCATTTATGGTTTAAATAATTGAGAGAGTAAAGAAAATTTTCCGACGAGCTTATTATTATTTTTAAAGGAATTTTTGTAGTTTAATTTGGTATTATCAGAAAGGTCTTGATGAGAATTAGTGCCTAGGTTTTATATATTTTTTAGAAAATTTTTTATTTAAAGTTTTTGGAGGAGTTTTTAATAGTTTGTTGGTTCTATAAATTTATTCCGTCACATTTGTCCATTTAATTATTTTTAATTGATCCTGTGATAGCACTATTATTTTCAAAATTTATTTAAAAAGTACCCAGACTATGTATAGTGTCATAAATATCAAAAAATCATTAAGCCTAAATTTTCTTACTTATAATCCGTAATTATCGGCAGTCACGTAGTGACTGCCTGCTAGTAAGACTTCACATTTTTATATTAATCACTTGAAAAAATTTTTAATTCATAAACTTCTGTTTAATTGAATAATAAATTTTGTTAAATTGCACTGTACTTTCTTAGATATTGAGGTTTTTGAAAATATAAGCTCATCTCAATGTTACACTCATCAAGAACTTTCATTTGAGTACCCACATGCATTTTTGATATATTTTTCATACATACATATATATAGTATATATAAATATATAAAATATATGAAAAATTGATGTGGGTACTCAAATGAAAAGTCTCAATGAGTGTTACATTGGGATGAGCTTATATCTTTAAAAATATCAATAGTTCACAAGATACAAGATCGTTTCTTAATTATGTTCAATTGCACTGTACTTTCTTAATTATTGACGTTTTTAAAGATATAAGCTCATTCCAATCTTACACTCCTCAAGAGCTTTCATTTGAGTACCCACATGCATTTTCATATATTTTTCATATATACATATACATATA